CAGGGTCAGAAATAGCCAAAACTGGGCAGATGGATGCGAACACAATCACATACAAAATGAACCGGATACTGTGGCTCCTTATTACAAAACCTTCTTTCAGATTAGGTCAAATTTATAAATCGATAACGACACTTATCATTATCAGCAAATGAAAAATATATCATATATTACATATACATAACGACTATCAGTATTCAATCACATCCATAATATACGGTGTGATTCGTACTCACCAAGGCATACTAGTTATTATTGCTAATGGACATTTGAGTAATGGAGCTGGAAGAAAGTCAAAAAGTGCACGAAAAATAACTGAGGGGGCTCACACGGTTACAGCACTCTAACTCCTTGAACTTAGCGCACATACTTCACCCCTCGGCGGTTCTCAGCGTTACGGGCGCTGCGGTCGCGAAGCGTGACCGGAACGCGATAGGCGCTCACAGGGATCTTGTGCGATGGAATGATGAAGATGAAATGTGTGCGCGTGAACTCTGGGAGCGATTTAAGAGATCCGATCACAGATTTTTACGGACTTGACGGAGTACATAGAACTGCATAGGAATGAACAACGTAATGGTGGCAATGGGTATCGGTCTGGCAACAATGGAGTTAAGTATACAGGGGCCAATAAAAAAGTCACTTTTCTTCCTTGACTTTCGAGGCGCTATAAGTTACACTTTATTAAATTCTGATCGGACATTTCCACCACCATATTGAAGAGCATATTAAATACTATCATGACACTCCGCCACAGCCTTCTGGACGAGCGCCATCGAGAGATTCTGGCACGCGACCGCGATGTGGTGCCTGAGATCAGCGAGATAGTCGATTTCTCCGCCACCGTAGACCACCTTGAACTCCGCCCGAACCGGGTAATTGAGGGGATTCAGGTCAGGTGACCTACTTGGATATTCCATCTTCTTTAGGTACTCAGCCCTTCCATTCCAAGTAGGCGAGAGTTTCTCCAACGCCCTTCGATTCCATGTGGTGGCACCCAATGCTGTAGCAGTACAAAGTTTCCAAGTAGGGTACGGGCGACGATATGTAGGGAGGATGTGATGTGCCTTGGCGAATGCGGTGATGATGTCCTAGACCGTAGCGACGTTGACGGAGCTGCTCGATGTTGGAGGTCTTCCAGATCGAGAGTACTGGTCTCCAGGTAGCTACCCATGGGTGACTCCACACTAGAAGTTTCGCAGCTGTTTGGAGGTGACATGAATTCCAAAGGTCTTCTCCAGTCAGACTGCTACTGGAGATGACTTCATATTTTGGTGTACATGAAGTTGATGGGCAAGAGCCAGCTCCTGCTTATCGAGGAACATCTTGGGTATCTTCCGCCCTGGTACTCGTATCCACGTCCTCTGTCTGGGCTGCGAAAACTTTGCTGATATGTGACTCGATCAAAGTGACTTTTTTATTGCCCCCCCCCCTGTATACTATGAAAATAGTCAGACGGGTAGATTTTAACCGAAAAATATTCAACAGGCAATCAATAACAGCAACAACTATACCGTATACAGTACGGTAATCGCTCTAGGAAAAAGCCGCAAGTAAGTAGTAAAACACGGAAATAAGTAGAAATATTAGTGCAAGGGACAGTTTCAATGACCAGATGGGAATGCCATCTCATTGAGCAGGTGGTGGTTATGGTGGTGGAGGTGCTCTGTACGGTTGCACGATGCTCAGGGCTCTCGTAATGCGTTCGATAGTCGGACTGCGGATATAGTTTACTCAAGCAAGTGGTACATCAGTAGTGAATTTGAACCAGTGTGAAAACCTGAAAATTTAATTTAAGGCAGTTGGCACGATGGTTTCCTACTTAGCCTAAAATGCTAGTAGGGCGCTGTATAGTGGGGAAATGGCGAAAGAACGGAGTGAAACGGTCAAAATCCTGCGAAGAAAAAGCCTCCGTTCTCAGTGACTTGTAAATCGATTTCGGACGAGTTTCCCGTAGGCATCTTACCAATCACCGCTACCGAAGATACGGCTGCATATGTGTACCCATGTATGCATGCAGCATCACGGCCGCTTCATACCAATCCCTTCGCTTCATAATTTGCTTAGCAAATGAATGAATACGAGCGTCAGGAACGGTCGTCCATTTGTGGGCGGGCGGGCGTGGCGGGCGTTTGGGACGTAAAGTTGTGGCTTGATAGGGCCCTTATAAGGGCACCTTCCTCGGGGAAACCGCTATGCAGCGCCTGCCCAGGGTCGCGGAATTCTATCCTGCCAGGAGTATTGATCCTAGTCGCCTTGGGGGATTTATCGTGATTTATCGGATTGCCAACTGCCTTTAATTGTAAAACTCACAGCAAATAAAGTCCACAGGCGCAAGGTACGATGATTTGGTACTCGGTGAAAATGATAGCAAAGGTGGTATTTAGTGGGAAATGACAAAAAGCGAAGTGAAGCGGCTAGAAATCAGCAAAAAGCCTTCGTTCTACACGACTTGGAGCAATTTCGGACGAGTTCCCGTGGCATCGTGCCAATAACCGCTACGGTAGATACGGCTGCATGTATGTACTCATATATCCATGCAGCACCGCAGCCGCTTCATATCAATCCCTTCGCTTCATATTGTACTTCGCAAATGAAGCGATACGAGCATCAGCATCGGTCGGACGTTTATGGGCTGGGGCGCGGCGGGCGTCGGCAGGTTGCAGCTTGATAGGGCGCCGTGCATAACGAATGGCACCGTTGAACTGGGCGCCCACGGCTACCCTACTCTGCGAAGTTTCGGCTCATTAATCTTGGTTTTCTTTATTTTGCCTTACGGGAAAAGGGAAAAAGCTGGCGAGACCGGCCTAAAGCCAATCTCGCCGGCTGTTTTGACGCGATTTCAGTACTATTTCTTTTTGCATTTCTAGAGAGTGCATGCGGCTGCAGTAAATTTTTGGGCATCAAGTAACTTCAGTGTGCGGTGAATGCACATGCGTAGTTCTACTGAAAGGAGCAAAAACAGTCTTCTGGTGCAATGGAGGATGATGGCGATGAGCCGGTTCGCACCCTTTGACAGTCTGTTTTCGAGGCGGAACAGCCTTCCGTAGTTTTCTTTTCAGTGTCTTTTAGACATCATTTCCAAAATGTTCTACATGATTTCAGGTATTCGATTGATGTTCGCTCACAAAAGCACTGGCGAGAGGGGGCCGCGATGTAGCACCTCGGGACAGTCGTATAAGAGGGAGCGAACATGGCTTCTATGTGACGTCAACTAGTCTCTTTAGTTTCTTCTGTATCTTGGAGGTACAGTTACGTTTACATGCAGTCTAGTTTATACCGCATCCTTCGCTATCTCCAGATAATACAGATAATCTCTCTATTACTGCCGGATGTCTTCTGTTATACATGGTTACGCGTAAAAACCAGAAAGAAACTCAAAAAGAACTGCAAACAGTGAAAGCAAACAAAATTTTCCCACCAAAAGCGGCGTTCCCTCTCAACTCGCTAGGCAAATCGAGGTCGCTGAATCCCACGGTAATGCTCATTCCTCACAAAGACCATCCAACAATGCGCGTCGAAATTTCAACCCCGTGCGCGATTCAGGCCGCCGATGCGCGCGAGGTTGAACCCCGTGCGATCCGTCGACGGCTGCACTGCCCTTCTTCCACGGCGCTGGTCCCCCATGTTCATGGGTCTCTATCTCGCATCAAACCTAACCGATTGACCTCAAATTTTGATCACACCACTGAATCCACATTCTAGGTGGACGCTGAGCATCTCTTCCACTTCCGGCCCGTTTTCTGTTGTATAGCGCTCCATCTTTAAGCCAAACTGAGATTACAACAACGACATCAAAACTGATACAATTTATTACAGTGTAATAATACTGTCTATATGTTTCTATTTCAGCGAAGAGGTAGGTCTGCACTCAAATTTCCGGATATGAGTCGGAGTTCCGTCTCTCTGGTCGGTCATTTGACTCCTTCTTCGTACCACAGACTGCTTCGCGACATTTCTTCTGAATGTCGAACACATACAAACAGTCACTATGGTGAAATGTGGAATAAGTAAAATTGTGTGAGCAACCGGGGTCAAACTCACTCATAATCCATGTCCAAAACAATAATGCGAACAGGGTCGCTCCTATCCTTGCGAAAATCACGAGTTCCTTCAGCATCCTCAAACAACTTGGCTTGCATCTATACTCGGTGTTGAGGAATGAACATATTCCAACTGAACATATGGCAGTCAGATCTACATAATATTTCGACGAAGTAGATGAAACGCCATTTTAAGGTGTTCAATCAGTACCTATCGGCTTTGAGGGAACATAGTCGGCGTCATCACCGTCAGATTCTTCTGGATCCTCGCTCTCTCCTTCCGGAAACCGGTTCCCGAGGTCCACAGTCCTCCTCTGCCTCCGCCTCTGACAATTCGTCCGTCATGAAATCTGAAGAGTCAAAAGCTAATGAGCGAGATATACCATGTGACCGTTCATACCCCTGAATTTCACGCGTCGCTTGACCGCCAACACTTCCTTCTCGTTCAAGTTTTGCTGCCCTTTGGCCATCGCCCGTAAACATCGGTATGCTCTCACAACAGGCTCTACGAAATCGTCCACGTAGTGGATTTTTAGGGTGTGACCAATGATGTGAGTGTTCCTCTCAGAAGACGATGATAGCAAAATGCTGGCTAACCCAACAACATGGCTACATTTGCATCAGCTGGGTCCATGTATCTCCTTTCCTTTGAGCCATGTAGTTGTCGAATTGTGCAAGTGCTTGCTGCATGTCTCGCCCTTGAAATCGAATGATTCATTCATTGACAAATCCTCACAGACCGCATTGCATGTGATAGCCATTTCTTCACAGTTGAGAATTATGAAGAAGCGTCTCAGAAGAGGAGAAACAGACGAGTGCGACACGGACATGTCGCTCCACAACATGTCCTCTTCGCGGCTGATGTCATCACGTTGGCTCACAAGGCTAAAGACAATCGGCGCTATGGAGATTCTGATAATGTTAGTAGTGGCATACCTAGCACGAAGTTTTCTGTAGTACTGCAACCACCGATGCGACTTCTTGTCAAGCCCGAAAAGACCACTTTTGCATGTCGTCAGTTCGCGCGACATTGTACGCTGTTTAGGGTTCGGGAAGCGTGCAACCTACAAAGATCTGATTTGCTGGCCAGGAAACACCTCATAGCACACCTTTGTGCGGAGCATAGAAGGAAACTCCACCCAGTAGTCCTTCACTCTTCTGTATGCTTGATTAGACCCATCGATTGTGTATTCACCTCCATAACACTGCCACAAATGGTTTTGTAGGCGGCCTCATTTCTTGTGGCGTTGCAAACCATTATGTAGGCTATCAGAGCGCTGTAATACGGTGACGTTGTATGTGCTACAACTCTTCTTTTATGTTTAGGATAGCTTTATCTGCTAACCTCATTACGAAATTATACTCTGCGTGAAGCAGAGCTTTTGCATTCCTGGAGAAATTTCTTCATTATGTCTTCGATTATACTGTCGATGACACTGTGGTCAACAACCGCCCGCATCGCAGCATACACCACGTAGCCCTAGAGAGCACCAAAAATGGAATGAATAAGCTTGGTTTGAAGTTCTTGTGAGCGCTACCTTCACGGGTTTCCTTGCAGGAATTACCCTTTGAACGATGCAGCTGACCGTTCTTCTTGTTTCAGATTCTTCAAGTAATGTCGCAAAGACTTACCCGCCTCCTTTGCCAGCTCTCTTCTACGTTCTCCGGCATCTGCTCAGATACAACATACTCTATGTTAATAATAGGAAACAAGTTTACGAAACATACTTGGATCGACGTGCCTTCGCAGAAACTTGAAGAATGCAATCATTGCTTTTACGAAAATCCAACCGGTGGGGGAACAAGGCGTCGTCTACAGTGACGATTTTCCCGCACGCCCACCCGCCGCCTGCCCACAAATGTCCGACCGATGCTGGTGCTCGTATCGTTTTATTTTCGATGTACAGTATGAAGCGAAGGGATTGATATGAAGCGGCTGCGTTGCTGCATTCTACCATTGTGGTTATTGGCACGATACCAGCGGGGAACTCTTGCGAAATTGCCTTCCAACGAAGGCCTAGGAGGGCGTCAAGTCGTTAGGTTGCAGCTTGATAGGGCGCTATAAGGATACCTTTGTTGGGAAAGGCGCCACGCAGTGCCTGCTTAAATGGGCCGAATTCCGTCCTGCTAGGCGTATTGATCGTACACGCTTGGAGATTTTTCGTACCACTTGCCTCTAAAGCGGATTGAAATGAATAAGGGTAAGTCTGCCAGGAAATCGAAAGGGTTTAAGAGACTGTACAAAAATGGGATTCCGGTAACGTGAATGAGATTACAGTGCAGGGAACAGGGATCCACCCACTCCTAAGCTCTTTTACTTGGACAAACATCGTTAGTCCCATTAGTCCCTCTTCGCACAAAAAGTCCCTTGAATGCTTTTCTGGCATCTGCGCAGAATTGCGAGGGTAGTCGGTGGGGAAAACTACAAAAGCATCTTTTTATGGAAGAAAAAGGGAGGAAGGGGGTATACATTGGACGAGGCACAGTTCGCATTGCCCGTTTCGCATCAGAAGCTAAAATCGTCTCCAATCTACATGGTTAAGGTCAAAGGGCAGGGCCCGACCTCCACAGGTCAAAAGGCGTTCGCGAAAATCAGAGAAATTTCAATCATAATTTACAATTACATTGTGAAGACAAGGAACAACTAACCTTAAGAAAAGCAGCCAAAAACAGTGAAAATTAGGGAGATACCTAAACAGGATGGAAACAGCTCCGCAATTGCCTGGGTAAGTGACGCGCCGCAACCGCGTCTGCGACTCTTTGACCGACTAATCAATTACCCGGATGACGACTGCAAATATCGTTCCGTGAGAGTGGGGGAGACATAAATGCGGAGAGGGCAGAAGCAGAGAGACGAGGGGGCATTGGTTGAGATAATAGCAAAGAAAGGAGCTTTACCGGGGGAAATCTCCTCACTGCGGGGAAGTGTAGCATACGGGCGCTGGAGTGCATCACGCTCCAGCTTGAGTTGCTTTCAGTTGAAATATGCAGAAGCATTGCCGTTGGCCATTAGCTACGAAATTTAAATGCACCTTGCATTTCGTGTCTATCTGAGGTTGCACTACAACGGTGAAGAACCTAAGAACAGCAATTCAGAGAGGAGCACAATTCGGATGGAACTGGGGAGTCGGTAGGTGCCCAATTTTTCTATGATAATTCCCTCGTGCCGCGAGGTATATCCCCGAATTGCCTTCTCTGTTACGGAATTTCGTACAGTAAATGATGAACAACTAGCAATCTTGTCTAACAGATGGTAATGCAGATGCGTGTATTATATGTAGAAGTATGTTGATGTTGAAGTTATGTTAAAAGCAAAAGTGTGTAGAAGTATGGGCACTATTCAACTGTTACTGTCCCAAAGACTCAAAAATCTTGGTGAAATGTTGCTAGCAGGAGTAGATGATGACCTGTTTACGAGCATGAAATTCGTTTCGATGATAAGCCACTATGTGTAGGACCGGAATTTTTCGAAAGACTACGTACCTGTTTTCGTGGCTGGGTACGCGTGGATTCGTCGCACACTGGCAGGAAAAAAACATTGTGTTGCGAAAGCTTGGCACATTGCCAGGCTTTCGTTATGTAGTTGCTGCATTCAATTTCTTGATGTTTTTTCCTTTTTTATGAGTGATTTTTTGCTTTTCATGTTTTTCCTTGTTTAATGGCAGACATATGAGTATACTGCAATCATTCCAGTGCCGTGCAGCCAAATTGTTTGTGAGTGTACTGCAATCGTTTTCGATGTTTCTCATAGGTGCGACATCTGTGACGTAGAAATTTATCATTAAACCTGTAAATGTGATAGGATGGTACGTAAATACACGAAGGGTATTTAATTTAAATTAATTAATCTGACGGCCGGGTAATTGCACATCCTTTTTATTCTCGCATGGCTCGCAACTAAGGTACTCCACATTGGCCATTACTCCTTTCAGCAGGGTTTTCTTGTCCCAGTCGTTTTGAACACATTCCGGACCGCATGACACACATGGTGTGTCACACTTGTCTGCTCCCTGTGGCCGCGTGACACACATGGTGTGTCATGATCTTCAGAGGCTAAAATTTTCTTATATTTTGACTGTTGCACGAACTTCTTAGTTGTTATATATCCTTGTAGGGGTACGAATTCCTCTGTATGGTTGGGCCATGAAAAGCTCCAACAAATATTTTTTTTGAAGTGTGACCGACTCACAAGACCGTCATGCTATATAAATACATCGCACATGAAACAGTTAGCTGATAGACTGATCAACTGGGGCTAGTCACTGTCCCGATCATCATTTAGCATACTCTTATAGCGTCCACTTAATTTGGCCACTGGGCGCCAGTTTGGCGCCGCGACCTTTTGCACCATATCCAATCGCGGAAACATGGGTTTGAGGGATGATCAGGGTTTCTCTCACAGAACTGAGATACATTCTTGAAGCCGGCGCTATTTGACGCAGTTTGGCGCCAGTTTGGCGTTATGACATCTTTCACGGAAATCGACATAGATATGCATTTGGAGGTTAGCGAGGGCTCTTATTAGTGTTTCGCTCCGTTGAAATCAGATGTGGATCTGTTCATACTCTGCGACGGAGAATCGGCGGAAACGGCATCCCGAAAAATCGATAGCCGACCATCGTACGGAGGCACTTGCCAATGCGCAGAGACTGAGAGAGTGCAGACGGTGTGTGCGCTCGCGACGTAGTGTGAACACTATCTAAGCTATCGGCGACGTTAGTTTAGCAGCAGCATTTCTCTACGAAATTCGTGGTGAACCGCTCATTTCCAAAGGAATGGCCTCTCAAGGCAGGTTACAGTCATACTTCCTATGAAGTTCTTGTGTTTTCTCCGGTCGAGTTTCTGAATTTTGTAATTGGCAGTTCTTTTAGTGAGCTTGAATGATTTGGATGAGAGTTTTGATCGACTTCTCTTGGATAGCGATGAGGATTTGGAAGACGGTGGCGAAGTGGATGTTCCAGTCGTGCCGATTGCTGTTTGTGAAGAAGAGGAGGTTGGAGATGAAGATGAAAGTGAGGATGAAGAAGAACAAGAAGAAGGTAATACATGGAGCAGTACTATTCTACCCCACGACACGATCCCATTCACAGACAATTATGGCGTGAAAGATGACACCTTACTTCACTTGGAGAGACCTGTCGATTTCTTGCGTTACTTTGTCAACAGAGAGCTTGTTGACTTGATTTTGGCTGAGACGAATAGATATGGAACGGCTAAGAACGATGCATTTGAGCCGGTTAGCGAAGCAGAATTTTGGAAGTTTCTGGCCCTTTGTTTCCACATGGGAATCGAACGAAGAGCGCACTTGAAAGAATATTGGTCAACAAGGGCCGTTTACAGCAAGTCTCTATGTGCTCAGTACATTTCAAGAGCACGATTTGTTGAGATTTTGAACTCGCTGCACTTCGCGGATAACGAAACTGCGGATAAATCAACCAGACTTTACAAAATCGCTGGTGTTATTGAACACTTGAACAAGTCCTTCTCCGGTGCTTACAGCCCTGGTAGAGACGTGTGTATTGATGAGAGCATAGTTCCATTCAGAGGCCGTGTGTTGTTCCGACAGTATGTGAAAGGAAAGAGGCACAGGTATGGTTCAAGCTTTTCAAGCTCTGCATGCGAAGGAGGCTACACGTGTCGCTTCATAGTGTATGCCGGTAAGGACATCAACCGGCAAGGATCGGTAGCTGGGGACATTGTATTGAAGCTGATGGACGGATTACTTGACAGCGGAAGATGCATTTACACCGATAACTATTACACCTCAATTTCTCTGGCGGAAGAACTGCTCGTCCGGGATACTCACCCGATCGGTACGCAAGAACAGGAAAGGTGTACCGAAAGAGGTGCTCTACAAAAAGTTAAGAAGAGGCGAACAATTCGCTCGACAAAATGGAACAGGCATCACCGTGCTAAAGTGGAAGGACAAAAGGGACGTTCTGATGCTCTCGACCAAACATGACGGCACCCAAACTATCAACAACAAGTCGTCAAAAAGTGATCGTGGCGCCAAATCGGCGCCCAGTGGCGCCAAATGGCGCCAGCGCCAAAAATGAATGTCATATTCGTAATTGGCATGTGAAAGAACCCCCAAATGCAAATTTTCCGTGTGAAGTAACCAAGGAGAAAAAATCGCGTCTGAAAACCTGCCCCGTGTGGCCGCATGACACACCATGTGTGTCACGCCAGCCTCGCATCGAAAAAGGCCGCGGTCACACGTGAATGCCACGCGAAATAGGCGTCGGTCCGGAATGTGTTAAGGAAACATTTCATGCTTCTTCAGCCTTTGTACTGCTGTCGGCACGGCTCTCCTCATGTCCTCCCCGTCACTTATCTGTGAAGTATTGACG